GAATGGCTCATGAAAAGTATTATGCCAGGTATATTAGACCAACTGTACAAAGTGGAGGAGGCTCAATAGGAATCTGGTCATGCTTCAATTACAAAGGTGTTGGTATGTGCCAAACATACACCGGAAGAATCAACTCTGGAATATATGTAGAAGTACTGGAAAACAACTTAATTCCATCAATTGACCTGCTTATGCTCAATGATAAACCATGGAAACTTCAACAAGATGGCGCTACTGCACATACTGCATACTATGCAAAGGAGTGGTTCAACGATAATAGTATCATGACAATACCGTGGCCTCCATACTCACCTGATTTAAACCCGATTGAAAACATTTGGGCTTGGATTGACCGTGAATTAGCAAAAGTTCAAATTTCCACACTTACTTAGCTGAAGGAATTACTTAAGGAGAACTGGTATGGGGTCCCAGAAGCGATGTGCAAAAATTTTGTTGAGTCTATGCCTAGAAGAGTTCTTAGTTGTATTAAAGCAAAAGGCGGATACACAAAATATTGATTGGTTCATAAATTACGCCTTCTAATGTATCGTGCGTCTAAATTTATGAATAATTTTTTTTGTCTAATTTTTTCAATACCATGTAGTGAATACATGTATATATATATATATATATATATATATATATATATATATATATATATATATATATATATATATATATATATTTTTAATTTTAATTCACCTCCTCAAGGCCGAGAAGCCCACTACAGACAAGGAGGCTACTTATTTGTGGCTATAACTCTATAACTCCGAAACACTAACCTTGACGAACAAGGCCGCTGCGCAGAGAAACGAGTTGAGCGCGGTACTACCAGGGACGTGGTAGGAATCGAACTATATATATATATATTATATATATATATATATATATATATATATACACACACATATATATGTGTATATGTATATATATATATATGTATATATATATATATATATGTATATATATATATATATATATATATATATATATATATATATATATATATATATATATATATATATTTGAGAATACATATATATGTATATATATATATATATATATATATATATATATATATATATATATATATATATATATATATATGTATGTATTCTCGAGTACTTAATAGAAGTGGATGGGGCGGACGTTTATAAATTTATTTTTTAAAAATTTTTTCATCCACCCTTAGCTCATTTCCCCCCTCCCCTCCTCCTTTATTAATTTCACTTGCTATTAACAAAAAAATTATTTTTCAAAACTAAAAAATAAAATTAAGTCAAAATCAGCCTTATGAACTAAAAAACATTTGAGTAACTGATAAATATTGAAACTTTCAGACTATATTTCCCATCCCCCCTTCCCCGCATTAAGGACTCGAGAGTAGCAGACAATATTGTTTTGTCCTCTAGGACGAAACAATATTGTCTGCTACTCTCGAGACCTTGGGTCTCGTGAAATACTTTTTTGTCCATTTTTAAAATGTTGTTTTTAAATAGTTTTTTATATATTTTTTTTACTTTTTAGTCAATTTTAAAAATTTTATTTTTAAAGAGTTTTTTTATACTTTTTTTTTGTTATCCAACAACGATTTTATTTATTCACGCTAAACTAAAGCTCTAAAAGTTTGTTTTTTGTTATAATTACTCTTCTGAACGATTTCTCCATAAATTACGTAACGCAAAATTAAACTTATAAAAGACAAAGAATTAAAATTTTTCCCTCACATTGTCATTTATTAAATTAAGTATATAAATAACCTTTAAAGTCCCACAAAAATCGCCGCGCCAAAGAGCAAAATGATCTCTAACTTATATTTTTTAAATAAGTTTTGCGTTGCATAATTTATGGAGGATCCCTAAACTTAAGCCTGTTTAGCGTTGTTTGTTTTAGTTGCTTTTATAAGCGATTTCTTTTATTAGTATGCTGACCTTGTGTTTGTTTTGCGCGGACACTAAAATAATATAGAAATAAACAAACCTACAAGAATGCAAGTTAAATAAAATGTTATAAAAAAATAAAAAATCATTTAGAATAAAACGGTTGTAAAGATTATAAAAAAATCAATAACCTGCTTTATTGTTGCATTTTCCTTCTAAAAGAAGTACACCATTAATTCTTTGATATTTTATCAGCGTCTCGAAATGGCTATGTGGCATGCTCGGTTTTAAAGCCATTTCATAGGCAGTTCTTAACATTTTTGATAACGCATCGCGGCTGTTATGTGGTATTTTCTATATCGAGATTGGTGACTCGAATACTTCCAGAGTACCCATTTTCAATTTGTATCGCCAACCTATGACATTGTCCTTTAAGATGGCGATCAACCTTTATTATTATCAAAAAATTCATGATTAAAATTAAATAATTCAATAAAAAGTCAGTTCTCTTTGCAATGTAATAACTAATAAGATAAATTCATGGTATATTATATAAAACTTTATACATAATACTTTTAATGAAACATAGTAAAATAACTAAATTCATAAAAATTATGCTTAACTTATTTCTGGACTGAAAGATTTAAAAAGTAAATCATTTTAATTTTACCTGATGTTTTGTCACCAAACAAGTTCCCTCAATAAATGAATAATTCAACGCTCCTTTAACTAAAGTATCTTTTAATATAGGTATTTTGTGCCTAGCACAAATCTTACACCATTTTTTAACAACTAATCTGTTTTTTCTGTGTACCCGATAACTGATTCTTTCCCCCAAGAAAGAAAAGTTTTTAAGCTCTTAGATATTGGTTTACTAACTCTAATTAATTTTGCTTCAGTTGCCATTCTTACAAACTTGTTATACTTAACCTTAAAGTTACTTTTTTTGTTTTAAATACTAATTAAAATTAAAAAGCCCCCTCACTAAACATCATCTGCGGTATTACAAAGCAGTTTCGCTTACTCTTCATAAAATATTTTTAACCTTTTTAGATGGTTTTTAACTATTTAGTTTAAGAAGAATTGTTTCAAATATGTTGAACTTTTTTTAACTACGCGAAGCATAAAATAGGTATTGAAAAATTTAACTTTTTTATTTATAAAATAATTTAGCATAGATAAAACTAAAATAAGCGTTAGTTTTGAATCTCGTTGGACTTTTCAGGGCTTAGGACTATTTTTATTGTGAAGGTCTTTTTTATGTGCCACAATGTAAAAATGACATAAAAAAAAGTTTTCTGGAAAATTTCGGGCCCCTAAAAATGCAGGCCTTCCCTAATCCAGCACTGGAAATAAGACATGAGTTTATAAATAAAAATTATAATATACTCTTTGATAAAAAAAAGAACATTTTGTTTCCTTATTAAGAAATCGTAAGATGTTACTTATATAAAAAATGTTGTTTAAATAATTAAAAAAGTTATAGAAAAATAAATTATGTTTAGAACAAATATTTTCGAAGCATCGCTCTTTTAAAAGAGCGATGCTTAGAAAATATTTGTTTTTAACATAATTTATTTTTCTTTAAGTTTTTTCGCGTTAAAACTTGTATTCTTTTCTTAGTTTTTTTGTAATTATCTCTCATCGGTCCAATAATTATTTCTGCGCTTTTTTTTTTGTTTTTAAAATGTTCTCAAAACGGCTAAAAAACCTTGCCAGTTTTTCGCAACTAAATATAATTTCCGTGGTTCCGTGGAGCGATCGCTCCTGCTTCTCAACCAAGCCTGTTTAATTCTATTGTGGCTTGTGGTCAAATGCGCATTTTCGAACAGCTGTTTTAGCATAAGTTCAATAGGATTTAAAATGCTGAATCGAGATTTACCAGGTTGGTGATTTTAAAGCCTATTTTTGCTGACAACAATTAAAAATTAATAAACAAGGGAGGGGGGGGAGTCTTAATAAGCTTTGGGAGGTTCAAAAATTAATAAATGCCCCCCCCCCATCCTTTTTTTTTTTTTTTTTTTTTTTTTTTTTACTTTCACCGGCTTTACTTCACTTCTCAAAATAAATATTATTTACAAGTGTAAAAGTTTGTTAAAACGGTCGCCACAGGTGTCAATGATCTTTCTAGTATATATACAGTTTCTTATAAATTAAAGGAATATATTTTTCAGCCAATCACCTGATCAGGAGACATTTGTATAAGATGTCATGTTTTCTATTTTTGCATGACTAAACTTGTTAAATAATCAGGTATGAAGACAGTTATACAATTAGGTATGAAAACGATTGAATAATCAGGTATGGAGACAGTTAAATAATCAGGTATGTAGACAGTTAAATAAAGTCTATGAAGTATTGAATTAAATAAAATCTGTCGCTACATTTTACCAATGTGTAATTTTTGAAAAAACAAGTAATACAAGATAGTAATAAAAGATACTAACAGTTGTTTTAAAATTTTAACCAAAAACTTCTAGATCTAGCTTTTAGTAATACCTAAATCTTGTAGTTTTTATTCCAGCTTTAGGTTTGTATTTCATTTTCTGTCACACTGTTTTAAAGCAACTTTATAGTTTAGGATTTTAAATGCAACAGGTTGATTTTTAAACAAGCTTAAGTATTTTCATCACTAATGGTTACCATCATTTTCATCACTAATTGTTAAATCAATGTTTAAAAAGATTAAACAGCTTTTATCTTATTTTGTTTAAATTTTAGCTTTAAATACTATTTTAAAACTAATACACCATTTTAGCTGTTGCTTTAAATACTATTTTAAAACTAATACACCATTTTAGCTGCTGCTTTAAATACTATTTTAAAACTAATACACCATTTTAGCTGCTGCTTTAAATACTATTTTAAAACTAATACACCATTTTAGCTGTTGCTTTAAATACTATTTTAAAACTAATACACCATTTTAGCTGTTGCTTTAAATACTATTTTAAAACTAATACACCATTTTAGCTGTTGCTTTAAATACTATTTTAAAACTAATACACCATTTTAGCTGTTGCTTTAAATACTATTTTAAAACTAATACACCATTTTAGATATTAGATAACACGTTTTATAGTAGTTCTGTAATATATCTGAAATATCTTTTTAATGCAGGTTTGTGAAAATTCAGTAATATTAGAGGATAAAAAGATATTAAAAGGTAATTTTTTTTTTAATTGATTTAGATTTAAGTTTGAGTGTATTAATTTATTATAAGAGTTCACATTTGACTTTGACATTCAAGAGTTATATATTTTTAAATTAATAAATTGCTACTTTGATAATATTAATTTAAAAATTATTTCTTGTTTTTGAGTTCTTATTGCTCTCTCTTTATATATTATTTTATGTAATATATTTTTCTATTTTTAAGCTCAAAGAGATATTGACATGATTCCTAAGCAATCTATATTTATGTTATCTGACAGGTTTATGCAAGTAAGCAATCTATATTTATGTTAACTGACAGGTTTATGAAAGTAAGCAATCTATATTAATGTTAACTGACAAGTTTATGCAAGTAAGCAATCTGTATTAATGTTAACTGACAGGTCTATGCAAGTAAGTATCCTTAAGAATTATTTGAGTGGATCTATTTACTTAGTTTTAATTACTAAGGTAAAAATTGTCATGATCATCTATGTTTGCTTATGCTATATCTCTAAAACTCTGGAGAACTATGTTCCCTCTTACTATTGTCCAGTCAGTTTTCTTAAATTAGTAAAGTTTTTAAATCTTCGTTAACAAACTTCTGATATCTCATTTGATATTTTGTTTGTTTAGAACAGGCCAATCTTGAATTTGGTTGTGACAGCTTAAAGCTTGCAGTGGTTGGTGAATTTCAACCAAAAAAAACTCATTTGCTTTCTATTAGTGCACTGATATTCCTGTTTTGATGAATGGTTTACGGAGTCATTTTATTTCTTTTTGGACTATCCATTACTATAGACCTCTCATGGATACCCTTTATATAAAACCATGGAAACCATATATACAAACCATTCTAAAGTTAACATCTGCTAAGGTTGCCTCTCTTTACTGCACAAGTGATTTTTTTTACTCTTGATTTCATTCTCTATTTGTTTAAATCTCATTTTTGTACTTTATTATTATATTGTAACTCTCTCTCTCTCTTTTAGACAAAAATTGCTTTTTAAATGCTATTGAACCTTCTCTAACTGCTAATCTTTTGTCCTATTTGTCATAAGTTCGCATTACTATTCTACAATAACTTTTTTCATCTGCTCAATCTTGCGTGACTTGTCATTTAGCTAAGTTGCATCCTATGCTGTAACTTTTTTATTCATGCTAATAAAAACTTTTATTTATTTACTTCTCTATCTTGAACATTGGAGATCTAGCATTTAATTTTTATGTTTTCTTGACTCTTTACAGTTTTTTAAGTCTTCTGTCAACTGCTTTCTTGCTCCTTAATGCTCTTGTTTTCTGTTAACTCCCAACTTAAATAGTGGTTGTGTGCTGTCTTAATGGGATTCATTTTCATATTTATTTATTTTTAATTCATTTTTTTTTTTTAATCTTATTTTAAGCATTTGTTTTTAGTTCTTTTTAATGAGAAATAACAATATAAATTATAATTATTTAAATTAAGATTATTTTTAAACTTAAGAACTTCTTGAAATTATTCCTGTTTGTGGTTTATTTATTATAAAAATAATTGATCATTTTATTTATTTTCAAAGATTTATATTAATATAATGTGTTGATATGCAATAGATACTATAGCACTTGTTTAACAACTAAAATTTAATTTATTTATATTGTTGTGTGTTTTTGCTAGTTGTTTATATGTTGTGTATTTTTGCGTATAAAAATGCCTAATATATTTACTTTTTTTTACATTTCTCTTTGTCAATTGAATCTGCTGTTTTGTGTAATGCTTTTTGTTATTTGTGTTGTTTTGTTTGTGTGATGTTTCTCGTTATTTGTGTTGTTGCTTTTTACGTTACTGTTTGTTGTTGTTTAAATAATGTATATAGGGCTTAATATTATATGTAAAAATATATGTATAAATTATTTATCTGTTTATCTATGTTTGCATTTATTTTGCTTATTTATGTTTGTTCATAACATTGTTTCTCTCTCATCCTTCTGATCTAATTAAACATTGTGTTATTTCATACTTTGTCATCCCATTTGTTATTTATCTCTTCTTTTTTTTAATTCTTTTTTTTTTTAATTCTTTTATATATATATATATATATATATATATATATATATATATATATATATATATATATATATATATATATATATATTATTGTTCTGATTCCAATTTGTTTAATATTCTTGTTTCTTTGAATTTTTTTTTTTTACTTTTTTATTTTAGTTTATTTTAGTCTCCACCTTTTTTTACTTTGAGTAAACTTATAATTGGTCATTTTATATTAAATATTTAAACAATTGTAATATATAATAATATGATATAACAATATCAAGTTGTCGCTCCATTGGATAGGTTTTATTTATATGAGTGACACCTAATTTTGTGAAACCAAAACACATTTGGAGAACTGTGTACTTTTCTTGTTGATGCATAAGTCATTTAATAAATTTACTCCTTGTTTTACTACAGCTAGTAATTTATTTTTGGTTTCTTATAGCAAGAAGTTTGCTGCTAATCTAATGTTTTTAGAGGATTTTGGATTTTTTCTTTCATTCAAACTTACTTGTTGATCAACATTTTCATTGTAATAATTTCAGTTGCTTTGAAAATGTTTGCTTATTTTTTACAATTAAATCAAATCAAATTAAAGCAAAATTTTGCTTATGTACAATCAGCTAAGATCAGTGCTCTTGTGAAGAACTGTAATATTGCTCACACACCAGTTTGCGCTTACATTTGTTGTTGATGCTGGTTTACAATAACTTATAACAGCTCACACATGTTTTCTTATAACAGTTTGTTGTTACTTTTATTAACTTGTGCATAAACTAGGTTTTACTTGTATAGTTTCATTTAGCTACTGCCATGTCTATTTTTTTTTTTTTTTTTTTTTTATCAGAATAACAATTGCAAGCTTTGGGAGTTAGCATCTATGCCAAAAAATAAAAATGATGCAACATACTATATTCTACTTTTACAAACAAATCTTTCTACAAAGGAAAAAACACTATCAATAGAAGATAATTTACATAAAAAACAATGTAATGAAGCTATTACAGATACACAGCATGAAAAACTGAGTATATTAGTTGAGTTAGCTGATGAAACTTGTCAAAGTAATGGCTTTATAAGAGAGTCAAAACAAGTAACTATTAGTTTCATAATTGTATTTTTTAATGATAATTTTACTTGAAATTATTAAGTATGTATGTATATATATATATATATTTATATATATATATATATATATATATATATATATATATATATATATATATATATATATATATTTATATACATATATATATATATATATATATATATATATATATATATATATATATATATATATATATATATATATATATATATATATATGTATATATATATATGTATATGTATATATATACATATATATATACATATATATATATATATATATATATATATATATATATATATATATATATATATATATACACACACACACATAGACTCACATATACATACATACATACATACATACATACATACATACATACATACATACATACATACATACATACATACATACATACATACATACATACATACTTAAATACATAAATTAATTTGATACTGATTTAGAATGGAAACCTTTCACATCTTGAAATGTTAAGTAATGATATGAAGTTACTTTTAGAAGAATCATTATTTGCTGATTTTATATTTCATTGTGATTCTAATATACAAGTCAAAGCTCATCGTAATATTCTAGCTGCAAGAAGTGAAGAATTTAAAAAAGTAAGTTATAAATTTATTATGAAATAGCTTACTATACTACTTTAAAATTAAAAAAAATCATAGTAAATAATATATAATATATAATATAATTCATAATAATAATATATAATATCATAATTTATAGATTTATAGAAAAAATGTGCCATAAGTTGATTCAAAGACTTTTCTTCTAGTTGAATAAGTTTTACCCGAGTGAAATAAGTCAAATAAAACATTTAAAAAATCAGTCTAAAACAATAATTATAAAAATAGTAATTAAAATATAAATGAAATAAAAAAGTTTTGATTTTAATTATAAAGTTTTGATTTTAATTATAATCAGAATCAGGTTAGAATTTTTCTCATTCTTTAATTAGATAACATGCGATTGTTGTGAAGTATATGTCAGCGAATATTCTTCAATTGCAGTTAAATTTATGCTTAAATTTATATACACTGGTTTTACAGATGTTCCATTTGAAAATGCATTTCAAGTTCAACAACTTTCTCAACGGTGCTTTTATCTTTGTTTAAATTTTTTTCATGTTTTTAAACTATTTAATAGTTTTTTTTTTAAATATGCTTAATTTTAATATACCATTTTTTTATTTCTTTATATTTTAAAGAACGTGTGTGTATATATATATACAATATATTATATTTATTTATATATATATATATATATATATATATATATATATATATATATATATATATATATATATATATATATTAGGGATGTACCGAAGCTTCGGCTTCGGCTTCGGTTTGCCGAAGCTTCGGCAATTTTGCCGAAGCTTCGGTTCGGCCGAAGCCATGGGCGTTTTTTGCCGAATCATTGGCTTCGGCAAAAAAATGGACATTACTAAGCTGGCATTCGACTGAGGAAGACATTTTTTAAACGTTCACACGTTGTCTGTTTTCCGAATAAAACGTAGTTGAACGTTCAAAATTCTTCTTTTTCTTTTCTTCTTCTGAGAAATTTAAATAAGCCTCTGATTTATACAGTTGCGAAGATTAAATGAATCCAGCAACGGCTTTTGGAGGTGGCAAGGCCGCGTGTAGGGCGGCTAAAAACGGCACGATAGCGGATAGAAAGTAAAGTTACTTAATGAAACACATTGATTTTTTTATAATCACTCAATATAAGCTGATTTAAATAAACTGTAACATTATAGTAAACTTTATATAATTAAATACCATAATATAATTAAATACCAAAATTATTAAAATTTAATTTTTTTAGCATTTAGTTATTAGTTAGCATCAACTTCTAAAATCCGAGTTATGTTAAATTATATATTTTTTAATATTAAATTAAAATTAAAAATTAAACCTGGAAATAAATCTTCATTTAAATTTACTTAGATGTAACTAAAACATAGCGCACGAGAGTTAAGAGAGTTAACTATTCTCGAAATTTTTAAAAATCTATACAATAAGTTAATTTTAACGCACAAAACAATTTTTATTCAGAAAGTTTGTTTTACTAAGTCACAGACAGAACGCAGAAAGACACTACACAGAAAGACACTACACAGAAAAGACACTACACAGAAAAGCACAATTGAAATGTAAGTCAATTGCGTTTGTTTTTGATTTTGTATGCTGGATCATTAGTAAAAGTAAATATACCTGCTCTACAAATATAGGTTAATTGGTTATTTACGACTTCGATTTTTTTTAATTCAAATAATATTTGAATCAAAAAATTGAACGAATATTGTTTATTTCAATAAATATTATTAAAGGTAAGAAAATAATTAAACTTTCTATTTCAATTTTCAGAATTGTTATTATAACTTTAAGTTATCCATTAGCGCATTATGGCTACCTCATCGCGAAGTAAAAATCCCTTATGGAATCATTTTAAAGTGAGTGATGAAGATGTTGGCAAAGCCATCTGCATACTTTGCAAGAAGATTTTGTCTAGAGGAAGTAAAGACGCACACAACATGTCAACAACAAATTTACAAAACCATCTGAAAAAAGTACATTACAATATACATAGCATGATTCTTTCTCAGAAGAAAATTATTAACCACGAATCTTTACCAAATCCAAATGAAAAGTCTATAAAACAACTTTGCACTACTCGAACAATATGCTTAGATAGAACAAGCTCTGCTGAATCAGTGCAAATCATTACCAGCACTGCCACAGATGAAACGCAGGGAAGCTCGCGTGTGTCTAATAACACAATTGCCTTTTTTCAAAAAGCATCGACACAGGTAACTCAGCTAACTGTAGCTGAATTCATTAACTATTCAGTATTCATGATTTTGTGACTGGATGGGGGCATGTCTTGTCGAAAAATTATCTTTTGTATAGAAAAATGTTAACTTAACTTATCTAAGTTTATAATATTATAATAAATGTACTGGTGAGGGGGGAAAGATACATACCTCTATCCGCCACTTAGATCCGTCGCTGGCCATTGTTAGTTACAAGTTGCTAAGTAATTTTTTTAATTCGTTGAATTTGTTTCAGGTCTCACTGCGGGAGATTTTGCAAAGAAAAGAATTGTGGCAACTTGATAATCCTAAGGCTCAAGCTATTACCAAGCTTATTGGAGAAATGATATGTTTAGACTTGCAGCCATACTGTATTGTTGAAGATAAAGGTTTTATCCGACTTTTAAAGAACTTAGCTCCAAACTATACAATACCTAGTCGAAAGTATTTCTCCACAAAAGTCATTCCACTGATGTATGAAACCATAAAAGCCAAAGTAAAATATGAGCTTGATCAAGCAGATTTCTTAAGTTTAACTAGTGATGGTTGGACCTGTCAGCACACAATTCAATCGTATTACAGTTTAACAGCTAGATTTGTGCTGTGGCTAAACTAAAGGAAATTCAAAGTCAACTAAAATTGCCAGAGCATAACATAATTCAAGATGTTTCCACAAGATGGAATTTGACATACTATATGCTTGAAAGGTTCATTGAGCAGAAAAAAGCTATTACATTGTATTGCATTACCAGAAATCAAGCAAATGCAAAAAATCCTACGGAAAATCAATGGCAACTTGCTGAAATGCTTGTATGCATATTAAAACACTTCGAAAGTACTACAAAAGACATGAGTAAAGAAACGGCATGTATATCAGAGATTATACCATTTATCTATGCAATGGAAAAGTTTCTAGACTACGCTTGTGACACGGCAACTGAAATAAAAACTGTTGTTGATGAACTTAAGAAAGATTTTAACTGTCGTTTTCAAAAATACAAGGATAATGTTGATTTAAAAATCGCGATGATGCTTGATCCTCGTTTCAAGTTAAAGTTTGTTGAAGACAAGAATCATAATATGTTTAAAGAAATACTCCATTTAGAGTTCTACAGTTTTTGTTCCAAATCTCATTTAGAACAAGTAAAAGAAATTGAATTTGGTGTAGCAAGAGGTAGTGGATCAGACTCAGAAGAATCATTAAGTTCATTTTCAGAATCTAAAATTCATGAGTCCGACTCAGATTTTGATGGCCATGGCTCTCCATTAAAAAAAAAAAAACTAATGAGCATGGACATATATAGCTTGTTCCACCAAATCGGTGCAAATGAGTATGCTCTACAAAATTCAGAAAATTCTGACGGACGGAGAAAAAAGAAAAAAAACACTAGTTCAATGGGAAAAACTCTAACTGTCAAAGAAAAATGGTAAGAAAACAAAATCTATTTATTATTTTTATATTGTTTATACATTAAATATTAAATATTTTTTTTATCTCTATTCTCATTCTCCATTTTTTTTATTTCAAAAGACGGATAACAGCATTCTTTTATTTTGTTTAGTTGATTAAATTGTAATATTTTAAAAATTTAAACCTAAAATTATCACCTATATTTTATGTATCAGCACCGATGAAGTCAACTTCTACTTGAGCCTTCCAATACTGCCAAAGAATGAATGCCCTTATAAGTGGTGGAGTGCATACCGTTACACTTCCTCTGATAAAGATACTTACAAGTTGAATTTGTCAAAGTTTTCAAAGAAAGTTTTGTGCGCGCCTCCTTCATCTGTAAAAAGTGAACGCTTATTTAGCACATCTGGAAACATATTTGAAGCAAAAAGAAACAGACTATTACCCGAACATGGAGAACAGATTGCATTTTTAAATTGTAATATGCCTGCTTTCATTGAATAAATTTTTATTAACTAAATAATAGACTGTAGCTTCTTAGTTCAACTGATTCAACTTTTTAACAAAATTTAAAACAAATACCAAATTTTGTGTTCAAATTAAAATAATGACTACTTTTATATTTTTACATTTTACGTGTTTACATTTTTATAAATTCTTTCAAAGAATAGACCATAATTTACCTTAAGTATCAGTAAATGTCTAAGATTTAGTGATGTAATCTTTCCTATACCTGCTAGATATATAGAGTTAAGACTCTAAATTTCACTCTCTAAATTTTTGTACAAAATTTGTTTAATTTTTTATAATATTGGTTTTGTTTTATAATTTTCCTAAAATGGGCATGTAGGCCAAAACATTGAAACCTAAAACATTGATATATAATTTTGAAAGCAACTTGATTATTCAAAGCACCGTGGTGAAGTAAATTGAGCTTTAAATTACGTATAGCTTAAGCCGAAGCTTCGGCTTCGGCAAAGTGGCTTCGGCCGAAGCTTCGGCTTCGGCAAAATTGCAGCTTCGGTACATCCCTAATATATATATATATATATATATATATATATATATATATATATATATATATATATATATATATATAGGCTTGGACAGGAATGGCGTGCGATCGCGCTCTGTAACTGACCACGCTAATATTTTTAATTCTTTACAACTTGACCACGGCTATTTTGATGTTTTAACAATTTGAATGCAATAAAAAATGTGTTACGTTATAAATATCTTTTAATCGTTGATCTTTTCTAAAGTTTTTTATTTTACTTTAAATAAAACCATAAAATTAATTATAGTTATTGTTTACATAAACGCTTGTGTAAATTAATAAAAAACGTAATAAATTTATGTAGGCATTTATTTTTTATGATAAACTTAAACGTTTGAAACTATTTTCTTATGTCTTCCTAAAGCATTTTTAAACCATTATTTTTAGAAAGAATTTTTTTAAGTTACTTTATTTTGTGAATAAGTTCAAAAGCCTTTGTGACTACTAACTTTTACACATTTTATGTGAATTACACAAGAATATAAAATAACTTTATTTACTTATATAAGCATGTATTTTGTTGATTTAATGAAAAAGTTTTAAAGCATTTTGTAATGTTTATACGATTAATTTTTATGATTGAACTTACGATTTTTTTAAATGTTTTAAATAAACATTTTATTTTTTATAAACATTTTTTTTTTTTTTTTTTTTTTTCAATTTCGTTAGAAATGAATATATTTAAATCTTTCATAATAATTTTCAAATTCGTTAAGCAAAGCGCTTATTAATAAAGTTGTAATGCTCAAATTAAAATTAAATGAAAAAGCTTGTTGGCAGTTTATTTTATTTAAATCGCAGGCGCATTTTATTTTTTTATTATTTTTTTTTTTCTATTTTTACGAATAAAAAAGTTTATAACCTTTTTTTTAATTAGACTCACTAATTATAGCATGAAATTAGTCAATAATAACTATTTTAAAAAGACTACGTTATTTTTTTAAACAATTTTTTTTTTGCAACTTTTTTGACAAAATAAATGTTTATACAATCATAGTCACAAGAATAGATAGTCTGGAAACACGGGCCATAACAATTGATTTTGAACTTTTATGTCAAAATTGCCTGCTGAAAGTGCAAAACAAACATTAAAGTGAATCATGGAAAGTGGAGAGTTGCAAGTTCTTTTGAGTTTGATAGAAACAGATCAGTTTGAAAGCGATTCATTTTATCAAGAAATCGAAATAGCAGCTTTAGAAGAATGTAAAGAGACTTTAAATTGTAGTGATTGCTCGAAGGTATTCAAAACAACTAGTGGTCTGAAAAGGCATATAAACTCTAAGCACAAAGAACTTGTGCCTACTGACAACCTTGTCGAGGATGTCGGTAGTGAATCAGTTGATTTAAATAAAAATATACAATTATGTATTCAAAGTACACAATTCAGAGATCTATTGACTAACACAAGACATAAACTGTCAACAGATGATTGTTTTTGTAATGAAGATCGAGAATGTTTTAAAAACATGGTTGTCACTGAATCTGAGTATTTACAAGTTGAATCTTTTTTTTTAAAAGAAATGCATGAATTTAAAGACAATGCCGAAAAATTTTATTCTTCACTCCACCATAAGTATACAACTGAGCCAGTTGCGATAAAAACAATACCAAAGGAACTATATTATTTGTTGTTAGCAGAATTAACAACATTATGTCTAAATTTTTTGTTTACTAAAGAATCTAAACGTATTGGTGAAGATTCGAATCTAGAAATAAATCTCTCTGAAAAAGACATAAGATGCTTAGAATATATTGCAGGTTATGTATTTCAAAAACTGTACTCTAAGTTGAGAAATAAAAAAATTAACGATGGTGCAATGTCTGGACAATGGCTTGATATTATACTTTCATCAAAAACTCAAGAGTAACAAAAACTTGTAGATAGTAGAGATAGAGGTGGATTGTGGAAAATGAATACACTAGTAATAAATATTTTTAGTGAGTGTGAAAAAAAATTTAGAATAAATACTAGCGTAAATTTTAGAAAAATTGACAGTAAAGTATTGGTTTCACAATTATTAAATAACTGTTTCGTCAAGTCCTGCTTTTATCAAATATGTGACCTTCCTGAAACAGAAATAGACAAAGAAGTTGCTAAAACTTTATTATATCATATAGTGATGCTTTTTATTTGTGTTTGTTCACATTCACACACAAAGGAAACAAAAGAAAAATTCAAAAACAAAAAAAAAAATAACAAAAGCAGAATCTTTACGATCATCATTAAAAAAAATCAAATAAGATCAAGAAAAATATTTGCGATAGCTGAGATTTACTCATCAGTATTTTATCAATCTATGCAGATGTATAGAAAAACCATATTTATAAGAGTATTATAGTTCCAGTTTATAATACTTATCAAACAGCTATTTTCATAGCCACAAATTAAAATAATTACATTATTGGTTAGAACAAATATTTTTATTAATTTATTATTTTAATCAACTTATTTTATTTATTTTAATCAAATGTTGTGTTTTTTCTCTTTAAAAAATAATGTATGACATTCTTTAAAATTTTAAAAGTATAGGCTTTTATCAGCAATCAGAGTTAAATTATAATAGGTTTTGGTAAAATTTGATTTTTAAATAAACTAACAGTAATTTTGGGGAAGACAAATAATATCTACTAATAAACTAATAAAAAAAAAGTTTTATGAAATAAGGTTTTCCAAAAAAAAAAAGATCATAATTCAATTAAGTTAATTTATTTTTTCTAAGTTTCTTGGGAACCGGTGTATCATCAATTACCCATTCATTAGTATGCTGTCTAACATTTCCACCAAGGGGTTGAATTGTAAATTGAGATTTTATTATATTATCATTGTATCCAGTGTCTTTAAGGTTAGGATTATCCCTACTGCAACCTATAGTTCTCTGCTTACCAAAGTAGTTCTCCAATGCATCTTGACAAAATATTTCAGTTAATACGTATAAAAATCCTTTGCTTAGTAAGTATTGAACGCATTCAACTAAGGAGTTTACCGTTCTAGATAGACCTTCAAATGTCTGATTTGATATGAACATTTTATTGAGTTCTTTTTTAGAAAATTTTTCTAGCCTTTTTTCTATGCTTTCCCTCCAGTCTACAAAATATTTTAAAAAAGTGTTTTTTAACCAGTAAAACCTTTCATCTGAACAATCGGTATAAGGTTTCAAAAATACTTTACAATTTTTGAGGTGCTCTTTAGTTTTTGCAACATTGCAGCAATCAAAAAATTTATCCATTAACAGACAGAAATTTGCTGTCTCAGAAGCTTCATCTGGCCCAAATTCAAGCAATGTATTGCCAACTGTAGCACTTAAAATTTGAACTGCTAATTTTACGCTCATAACAGAGTATGCATTTAATACTATATGGTCTCGAGTAAGTTTAGGAAAATAATTTAAATTACATTCCATATCTTCATAGTAAAACTTAGCAATATGACTCCAAAGAAGATATTTTCCATTATTCCACATATATCTTGAACAACGGTTAGATCCAGAGTTGCTCAAACATTTTCTTGATGTTTTGATAAGATGAGGAGGATCAGAAAAAAACCATATATATCGTTCATCATCTGCATAAATATTTTTTGTGCGATATTTTATACCATTTGCTTTGTTGTCATTATTCATATGCATTTTATAAAATGCATGATTTGGTGAAGCTCCATCGCAAGTCACAGCTATAACTTTTAATTTACATGTTCTTTCTAATATTGCAACAGCACGCCAAAATATTGGAAAAATCTGGAATGACATAATACTATCAGTAGCAAAACTTGCAAAAGCATAAGATAAGGGATTCATTGCACTTCTAATAAAAAAAACTAAAATATGTGAAGCTAAAGTATCAGTTTTTTCAAAAGTTGCCTGAGTAAGATCATCATCACCAAGATCAACAAAACCAGTTAAATCACCTGTGTGCTTATTTCACACAAGGTCATTTTGAATTTTCATTTCATCAAAAGAAAGTATAATGTATTGTTCAAGTGCTGAAAAGTTTGAAACCAATTTAGCAAGCTCCTGAACATATTGACTATTAAAACCCCTTTGTGGTTTGATGTAGTTTCTATAGTCTCTTAAAGTGCGTTGAGAAGGCAAAACAAGTATACCTTTTCCACCTTTTTGTAAACGCAGAAGATCATATGCAGCTGGAGATTTTGCATACAAAGCTAAAGAGTATTTTATTATCATTGGATGGTATCGTGTTTGAGATGGATGTTCTGTTAAATATTTTAACTGTTCTGAAAGGAATAATTTCATGAAAGACGAAATTTCTCTATTTAAATTTACCTTTTCTGAGAAACTATTGATAATTTTTTGAAGATCTTGATGGATGTTTTCTCCAACTGATACTGCATTTTTTTCAATGGCTTGCCTGAGTTCCAAAATTTGCTTTTTTAAATATTTTCAGATCTTTGATTTTGGAGAGTAAGAAGTAATCTTTCAGGCGCAGTATATTTAACAGGAGCTTTAATACTAGCTGGAGTTTTTAAGATTTTCTTTTTTGCATTAATGGCTTTGCTATTACTTATAGTTAATATTTTACATTCTTTACAAATGTTTGACTCAATTTGTAGAATACTGCATGTAGAAAATCTGAAATACACTGTTTCATTTGTAGGACCATCATCACATCTTTCATCTTCAATTGAAAATAGTTTGCTAACAACATGTCTCTTTACAAGCAAAAAAATTTTCTGTTTCATTGGATGATATTTCATTGCACAGATAGAAATCACGAATGTGATTGAGAAATTGTGATATCATGGTGTATCACACAGATTGTAAATTACTCTTATAAATTTGATGGGTGTCTGGTAAAAGCCAACCATAAGCTCGAATAGTATAAGCTAGACTCTCATCCACATGTAGCTCAATTTCTGGTATGAAATATTTCCCATCAATAACTTTAAATAACACATAGTTTTGTGAAGTTTCAACAGTCCATGTAGTAAATGCTGCTAGTTTAATTTTTTTAA